AAGTGCATGTCAGGAACCAGGTCTTCAATCACCAGTTTATCTTCCCCCCAGGGCAGGCCAAGGAGCCGTCCCTGCTGAAGCAGCCAGGACCTATCCTGGCCCCTGGAGAGAACGTGACCCTTCAGTGCAGCTCTGACATCAACTACAGTCAATTTGTCCTGTTCAAAGAGAAGGAAACTGGTCTCTCCTACAGTCCTGGCCAACAGCTGCAGGCTGGTCTATTTCAGGCCAGCTTCCCACTGGGCCCTGTGAGGGTCCACACTGGAGGCCGGTACAGGTGCTATGGTGCACACAGCCTCTCCTCAGAGTGGTCAGCCCCCAGTGAGGCCGTGGACATCCTGGTCACAGGTGAGGCGCCCAGGGCGTCCAGTTAAGGATCCAGATTCTTTACAAGCCCTGCTGGGGGTGTTTAGGGATTGGTGGTCAAGATGAGGGTTGGGGTGAGAGGGAGGAAAAGAAATAGAGACAGGGGAGCAGAGGAGGGACAGGGTAAAGAAGACAGACAGAGACCCAGGTTCGCAGAGACAGACCCTGGCGAGGTCTCAGCTGAGAACAAGATGGCGCTGCTCACCATCCCTCCTCTCTCTAGGACAGCTCCCTGTCACACCCTCCCTCTCTGTGAAGCCAGGCCACACCGTGTCCTCAGGAGAGAATGTGACCCTGCTGTGTCAGTCACGGAGCCAGATGGACTCTTCCCTTCTCTCCAAGGTGGGAGCAGCCCATTCACCCTGCGCCTAAAATCAATGTCCCGAGATCATCAGTTCCAAGCAGAATTCTCCATGAGTGCTGTGACCTCGGGCATCGGGGGCACCTACAGGTGCTATGGTGCTCGAAGTTTGTCCCCCTACCTGTTGTCACCCCCCAGTTCCCCTGTGGAGCTTGTGGTGTCAGGTAAGTTATCCATCACCTCTCTGAGCTGAGGGTCTTCCACTAATCATGTCCTCTGCTAGGATGGGAGTGAGAGCCCCTGGGAGAGGGGGATTCACCTTTCAGGGAGGTACAGGTCAACATTCAGAGATACCCACTCCATCTTTTCAGTGGAATCCAGCAGGTTTTGGGTGGACAAGAGGATAACTCTAGTGGTGTCAGGTAAGGTGTCCATCACCTCTCTGAGTTGAGGGTCTTTCACTAATCATGTCCTCTGCTAGGATGGGAGTGAGAGCCTCTGGGAGAGGTGGATTTACCCTTCAGGGAGGTACAGGTCAACATTCAGAGATACCCACTCCATCTTTTCAGTGGAATCCAGCAGGTTTCAGGTGGACAAGAGGATAACTCTAGTGAGCCACAGAGCAGACATAATTCGGTGAACAGAGACAGGCTTCCAGGGTCAGTCTCCATCCTGCACCTCTTCCTGTCCTCATCCCCTAATGCCTGTTAGACCCTGAGTATCAGTGTAACCAGGCCTACAGTGCCCTAAAAACAGGAAGTGACCCTGCTCTGTTAATTGTGGATCCTGGCAGACAACTTCCCTCTGCACAAAACAGAAGCTGTAGACGCCCTTGTGCCTCTAAGATATGAAATATAGCTCAGCACTGCTAGACAGAATTCTCCATGAGTTCTGTGACCTCAGCCTTCAGGGCGATGTACAGGATCTGAGTGTGTGTTGGTGAGGGGTGACAGCTGAGAGTGACTTCTTCCTCCTGCACTGGGCGTCCCCATCTGAACAAGGGGGACTATCAAGAACTCTGTATTGCTGATCTTTGGGGATTCCGGGATAGGACCGTCCTCGACCTACTCTAGGCTCTAGCCGTCTATGGCCAGTCCTAATTCTCTCAGTAACTGTGACTCTTGAGAACAAAATGCTCATGGCATTTTACCTGTCAGCCCAGAGTGCTATGAAAACATCAAAGATAAAAGCCCACAGGTTTGGCGGGGTGTGGTGGCACATGCCTTTAGTCCCAACACTCAGGAAACAGAGGCAGGCCTATGATCTATGTGAGTTCAAGATCAGCCTGATCTACATAGTGAGTTCCAGCCTGATCTACATAGTGAGTTCCAGGACAGCTGGGGCTACATGGAGACCTTATCTCAAAAAGATCGAAAAAACTCCCACAGGTTTGGAATCCACTCCCTTTCATGGATCACACGAACACACAGATCATTCGGATCATATTCTGAGAATCACATGTACTCAGAACTCCACATGAGAGCCCTCTGTACACACACACCTTGACCCAACTTTTCCTAAGCAATTTGTGTGAAGAGGATGGAGAATAGCCTGCATCACCTGGTCGTGTTTTCCTCACTGACTTGGACAAAGGGAAAATTCTAGGTCTGTGGGGGAGGGAAGAGCTGGGAGAATTTGGGAAGAAGCAGGAGCTCTCCCTGAGCAGGAAACGTTTCTCAATCTGTGAGGCTGAGATGCAGCTCCTCATCCACACCTAGGTGGTCCCTGGGTCCTCTCAGAACAGGGCAGGAGGCTGCCAGATCATGCTGGGGTCTGACTGTAGGGGGGACTGTGACTCAAGGAGACACACTCCTTTAGAGAGAAGCATCCTAGGCTGTAGGTAGCAGTCTGCATGGCTCCTCCTGAGCTCACCTGGGCTCCACACTCCAGACCTGAGGCTCAGGAGAGGCCGTGCACCTGCCCACTACAATTATGTGAGGATTCCTGGGCCGCAGGTATATTTTGCAAGTCAATTTGTTTCCAATCTGCATTTTCTGTTTAGTCTTGTGTTTTGCTGTATATTATTGTTTTTCGGTGTGTCTGTTTTCTGACAAGGTCACCTGATAGCCCCAGCTGGCCTGGAACTGACTATAGAGACCAGGCTGACCTCAGTCTCACAGGGATTAGTCTGCATCTGCCACCGTGCCCAGCTTTGGTGCTCTCGTTTTCTGAGACTTTTCAGAAAACACCTTGGAGGCAGAGGTTTGATATTAGTGTCCTCTTCAGGGGCAAGCACTCTATTGTGTGGTATTCTCTGCACTTTGGACAGTTGTTGGTCTCTGTGTTGATAACCATCTGCTGCACGGAGAAGCTTCTTTGCTGAGAGCTGAGAGAAACATTAAAGTAAGGGATGAATAGTAAGTCATTAGGAGTTGTTTTGATACTTGTTCATTTAGCATAATGATAGTAGGCTCTCCCTGCAGTCTGTGTCCTCATTAGACACGGGTTACTTGTCCTGATATCAGTGTCAGGTATGAGGTCTGTCTTATGAAGCCGACCCCAGGTCCAATCAGAGAGTAGTTGGTTGCTCCCACAATATGCATGCCACTATTGCAGTAGTGGGCATGCCTTGCCCGGCCAATTGTTGTGGAAGCCGGCATGATCTTCAGTTGGGCAAGGTGGATAATGAATGTTCTCTTCTGCATAGCACCTTCCGGCACTGTCAAAGCTAGCCAGTAGAGATGAAGCTTTGAAGTCAGTACCTGCTCGATTTCCCTTTGTGTATCCTACAACTCATTTATGTAATGCTTTCAGCAGTAGGCTCTTACTGCCGAGTTCTGGTGGGTAACCACAAGCAGGGGCAATGGCCAGCATTGTTTGAGGGTCCTATCCAATTGTTTTTCAGTCACTGCTTTCTGATTTATGGTAAAAGTCATATCAATTACAATAAGACTGAAATTTCAGCTTTTCATTTCATAGCTTATACGGGGTATTTTCATCATATCCACCCACTACTACTTCTTCCAACTCCTCCTAGTGACCCCCACCCCTTCTTCCAGCTTAATGTCCTCTATTTTGTTGTTATCAATAAATTTCTCAGTCCTTATGTGCAGGGTGTGGGGTCATCCACTGGGATGTTTGAAACATGCCAGTGACCTTGTCCCCAGAGGAGAGTGACACCCTCTTCCCCACCAGGCATCCACTGCCCATAGCTCCCCTCCTAGGGGTGGGGCCTCAGGATTCTTCTTCAGGTCACAGCAGCAACTGTGAGTTCATGTGTGCAAATGCCATTTCCTGTCCACAAGCTAACATGTCACGGCACTTGTCCTGATCTACCAGTTCTTACATTCTTTCTTCACCCTCTTCCATAAGGTTCTCTGAGCCTTGGACGGAGGGAGGTTTATGTAGGTGGTCTATCCACAGTGTGCCCACAGCTACTTACACTGCACACGTTTAAATGATTTTTTGATTTTTATTTTCATTTCATGTATATGAGTGTATTGCCTCATGTATGTAAGCACACCCATGTCATGCAGTGTCCTCAAGCTCAGAAGAGAGTGTTGTATTCCCCTGGAGCTGGAGTTAAAGAGGGATGTTTGATGCCAAGTGGGTGCCGGGACTCAAACTCGGATCCTCTGCAAGAGCAGTCAGTGTTCTTAACCGCTGAGCCATCTCTCCAGCCCCTAACACTGCACACGTTCAATTGCCATGCATTAATTCTCCATGTCATACACAGAGAAGGACCTCATAAAGACATTTCACACAGGTATGTCATGTGCTCTTACCATGTTCACTCCCAGTCTTCCTCTTACCCAGGCTTCCCACCATGGCCACTGCTTCCCCAGAGTCCCACTGCTGCTTCAATGATGAACATGGAATTTTGAGTGTATATAGACAGTCTAGGGCTGGAGAGACAGCTCAGGGGTTAAGTGCACTGGCTGCTCTTGCAGATGACCCGGGTTCTATTCCCAGTGCCCACATGACAGCTTGCAACCGTCCATAACGCCAGTTCCATGGGACCTGACGCCCTCTTCTGTCCTCCTCCAGCATTGCACAGCATGACTGCAGTTACATACATACAGGCAGTACATGCATGCACCAAAGAAAAATTAAAAATTAAATTAAAAATAAAATCTAGGTCCACAGTGAGAGAGTGCACATGGAACCGTCTTCAGAGTTTCATTTCTTTACCTCAGTATCATCTCCAACTGCGTCCATTTCCACCCCATTTTTCTTCTTGTAAGGCAATATTTCTTCCTTCAAACGCATTCATTGCAATTGGATATTTATTATATAAAGATGTACATATGCATCTATTACTTTTACATTGTATGTTTACCTGAATTTATGGTTATAAAAATTTGTCCTAACACTGCCAACTAGCGTGTTATTGGGTGTTTGCTACTCATTGATCTCTGTACATTTGCATTACCACACACTAAAACATATATACATAGATGTGTGTGTGCACATAGATGCATATTTTTGGGTTGCACTGCGGGTGTCTCTTGTTAAACAGACAAAAGCACCAGGGGAACTGGCTGTGGCAG